TTATACAACTGTAAATTTATTTAGAAATGTTTCTACTTGGAAAGTGAGTGAGGAAATTTACATGATGAAGAATGAAAAATTTAAGATAGGAATTCTTTACAATATCTTATCTTCAACAATGATACCTTCGTGTAGAGTTCATCATTGTCTGAGATCCGCATAGAAAGGACAAAAATTACCCCAATAGGCCGTCGATCCCCATTATTTTCGTTGCGCACACCCTCGCTTAGCCTCTAACTCGAACTCTCGACCCAAGGCTCCACCCAAGACATCCGTCCATTTTTCTCATTCGAAACGCAAACACGAACCGTCCATCAGCGTAGATAGAAATTATTCCACGGCCGTTCGACAGTTCCCTGGAACGATCGGGAAGCGATGTCGCGGCCAATAATTTCGACACGTTCACAACGTAACGGGCCACTTAATTTCCAGGGAGAGGGACCCCGTAATGAATCACAGCCCAGCCGCTTGAGTAATGGTGGTCGAACTGGGCAGAGGCGGTCAACATAATCCCTCTCTCTCTCTCTCTCTCTCTTCCTCCCTTTCTGTAATGGTGTCGTGGCAACCGCCTTTCCTCTCCCCTCCCCCCCGGCCAAGGTTCATAATATAATCTTCCCGCGAGTAGTTACGATCTCGAATTACATTATAGATGAACCGGACTGTGGGACGATCCGGCATATTTGTCAAAAGAGATCCGGGCTCTCCTCGCCGCGTATAAGATTACAGGCTGCGTGAACATTGTCCGAACACGTGCGCCCCTTTCGTTCGAGCGCAAAAGGGCGCTGGAACACGCGAACCCCGCTTTACCGGGTTCCGGTTTCGGCTCTCGATCGTGCGAATATCGATCGATAAGGTAGAGTTTTCCTCTCCACCTTCCAGCGGAAAGATTCAAGCTCGAGAAAGATTGAACCGTTTGAACTTAACTCGTACGAGTTAAGTCGCGATCAATGATGAAGACGTGGTGGCGGGTTTCGATTTAAGAGATCGAGCTTCATTCGAGCTTCCATTGTCGAGATATTTAGATACGTAATTTTCTTACGGCTGAATCGATGTGTTATTGGTTCGTTAATCATGGACGAGTAATGTGATAGTTGGAAAGGGTGTATCGGGTTTTGATCGTGTGAAGATCGAGGTTCGTTCGATTGGAAAAGTTCAGGTATTGAAGAAAGGGGTTTCTGATGGTTGAATATGTATTAATGCTATGTAATAATCACGGACAGTAATGTGATAGATAGAAAGGGTTTTGGTATCGGATCTTTGATCGATCGACGTTCATTCGAGCTTCTATCGAAGAGAATTTAGGGTACGATTGAATTTTATTGTGATTGGATGTACAATACGCTTCCCTAGTAAATTCGTGATCGAGTCACGAAAATCGATCAAATTTTATTTTCCCTTCTTACTTGTGATGGCTCGTCGCTAGTGAAGAATTGGTGGGAATAATTCATAGGTTAACGAAATACCGTGGTATTAATGTGATTCTTCTCAAATCAAGTTTTTTATAATCGTTTCTTTTTAATGGCCACAATTATAATCCTGTATTCTTCAATACAGGTTTAACAATCTTAATTAATAACTTGTTCGATGTTGAAATAATAAAAAAACATTTATTTTTATTTATATATTATATTGTTTCGTATTTTCTTTTAGTCTCAACAACTTATATAAATAATTCAGTCTATTCTATTTTCTTGAAAATATTTCTTTTTAAATAGATGTTTAATCAATTATTTCTATATTTTTATTTCCACGCAATATTATTTCCACCTTCCTGCATAATTTCTATTTGTTTTTTCGCGCGCACGATATAAATAATAAAGTTTATGGAAACGGGAACTTTTTACCGTTCCCTCGAAATTGTTGAAATGACGGTTCAGAAGTTGTTTGTCTCCGCTAGTTTCTACTTGTTTTGGGAACTGTTTTCTGCTCGAGCAAGCTTAGTGGAGATCTCGCTGACGAGGCTAGAACTTGAGTCATTTCACGGGTTCCGCTTGCGCGGATTTGGCAAATGGTAGCGAGTCTCGTTGAATTCCTTGGATGGATCGAAAGTAATCGGATGAATTCGGATCAATTGTAAATGGGACAGCGTTACAGAATAATTTTGGCCGGATACGAAGTGTGGATGTTCCAGTAATCGAACGGAATGCAAAAGTTGTCAAAATGGATGTTCGATAACACCGGTGGACCGCTTCCATTTCATTTGCGGTCGAGGCGGATTCGCAACACCATTTGCGGTCGAATGAATGGATAGGCTTCCGCGAAACCGTCCGCTAGATTTCCATGATCGATGCACTAAAAACTTAAACAACGATCGAATCATCGTTTCCAAGATTTTATCT